CTTGCTATGGAGCAGAAGGTAGCTCTATACCCAATGATACACAAACATACATGTTTTTGCTATACCCCAAATAAAATCTAAACTTAATGACAATTGAAATTTACAAAACAGAATAGTAACAGTGTTCTCATTACTTTGGATTACCTGTTTTTTCTTTTAATGTATCCAATCTGAACTGATTTGCTGACTATTTGGTGAAACTTAATACACAATTTGTGCTATGGTGTCATAGATGTAAGTATATACTATAGCTATATATAATCGATATATGCTCTATATATTAGACAAAAGCCTAATGTCCATGCAGGGCAGAATGAATGCAGATTAGCAAAACACTACTTCATCAATTAACTGCTTAATGCATCAAGCAAACAGATAAACTCAAAGAGATATCAATAGCACTTAGGCTTATATACCGCTTCAGAGTGCTTTAAGCCCCCTCTAAGTGGTTTATAGAGTCAGCATATTTTCCCCAACAATCTGAGTCCTCATTTTACTGACCTTGGAAGCATGGAAGGTGGAGTCAACCTTGAACCTGGTGAGATTCGACCTGCCAAATTGCAGTCAGCAGAAGTAGCCTGCAGTATTGCATTCTAACCACTGTGCCACCGTGGCTCAATATAGAGATATGCACGGTAAAACATGAAGACCATCGAGCTAATGAAACTCACCATACGTCAATGTGTAGACAGGTTTTCCAGAGACATCCAAGGCTGTCAAACAAGGGCACTTGGCCTGTGTTGTTCCCCAGCGTTGCAGAGCTGCTTCTAAAGCAGGAGGCCAATTGCAAACTACACCCAAGGGTTCTCCCTTCACAGGTGTCATCTGACGCCCTTCAGGCCTGGGCTGATTAGGATCTGGCTGTGGAACTACAAAGAAAACATCATCCAATCAAATGTTAAAACCATTCACAAAATAGAACAATGTTCTAAAAAATGCTAATAAACTCTACATCTCCCCGTATTAATGATGCAAAGGATTCCCCACTCTTCCCCTCCAATGGTTCTAATAATTAGGGTTTTCAAAACTATTGTTAAAGGTCAAGGCAATTTGAATATATTTGTTGCTAAGGAAAAACGTCTCACAATAGGAGATAGGAAATGCGTGTGCTTTCAAACCTAGAAAACCATATTGTTAATCCAACTGCATTTGGTAGGAACCTACTATTACTGGTTTCTGCTACTGTATAATTATATTGTATAGCAAGGTTTAAATTCATAACCAGAAAATTTTAACTCTCAATCTCACAGATTAGAAATCGGACTTAAATTTTAAAAAATACATCAAAGATAGAAGAGGGCAAGAAAAATGAGGACAAACTGTCTGGCTTTTAGAGAAGCAAAGATTGTAATTTTTAGAAATAAAGAGAAACTATTCCTTATATAGAGCAACAGGGCAGAAAATTATGAAGTGGGAGTAGATGATGGAATAAGGAACAAAGAAATAACTATATTAATAAAAAAGCAAGAGGAGACAAAATGTGTTTTATTAAAATCCAAACACCCCACCCCACCCCTCCCCCAACATATCAGGTAATTTTAAATCAAGGAATTTAACCTTCAAAGAATATTTATTCTATATGAATATTTTTATAGGGTAATATTACATCTGTCCATGAAGGCATACCTTCTACTAAACACCCTTTTAAATAAACTTGGCATTGGAATCAACAGCCTTGTATTCCATGTGCCCCTAGTCATTTGTTGAGTGTTCTGTTGATCCGAGATGGTTATCGCATAAATTTTTCTCAACATTTGGCCAAGAAAAAGACTTTTAATTAATTAATGGACTTTAAGATTTAAAGTAAACATGCACAAGTGAGGAAAAAAGAGATTAAGATGCACTGATATATGATAACAGCCACACTATACAGTCCATGGAAAGATGCCCAATCCATATACCTTCCACAATTTCTTCGAAATCATCCACAAAGAACTCCTTCAGAGGTGGCCGTTTAGGTCGCTTCAGAGTATTAAGTAGCTGCTGGATTTTAGTAGAGACTCTGCTATTTACAGGGACACCTACAGTATAGGAAATGAGTTCAGTTTATCAGAAATACATCAAATATGAGCAAACGTAGACCTATAGTATCTGGGCTACAAAAACCTGACTGACCACTTGACAAAAGAACTCCAGTGTTGTTGCCATCTAGATTTTTGCAAGTTTAGAAATGAGAGCCATTGTAAAATATGGGTAATTGTAATTTTAGAGAGATTACATAATCTTTCTGATATGTAAAGATATTGGGATTTGGGATGAAGCCCAAACTGAATATTTCAGAAGATTTTCTCTAATACTTGATTATTTTTCTGCTTTCCAAATCTACCCTTAATATTGGCATCACACAGGATATATAGGTTTATTATGTCTTACGGTGGATGTTATCATAAGATACCTTTGTTTCTGCTAGGGCAAAAAACATGGCATTTATCAGACCTCAATTCCTAACTGATCAGAAATGTTTGGCTGAATGGATACAGCTGCACTCAAGGGTAATTTGCTAATAATGCCTTAAGACATGGCCACCAGAGGGTGCAAGGACAACTGGAGACTTATTAAAAGCTAGACAATTATCTTCAAAGGCTTTACATACTTCAAAAATCATTGCACAGCACAATTCTGCTATTCATTAAAGAACCCTCATTTTTTTCAGGATTCTGCATGAATGTGAGAAAAAAAGTGCCTCTGCTTTAACAGTCACCTTAGTGGGTTCCTTAAAGCAGCAGAATCTTTTTTTCCCCCCAGTAGCTGCTGGATTTCAGTAGAGACTCTGCTATTTACAGGGACACCTACAGTATAGGAAATGAGTTCAGTTTACCAGAAATATATCAAATATGAGCAAACGTAGACCTATAGTATCTGGTTTCTTTTTTTCAGGTTTCAGTGGAAGGCATGAAAAAAATTAAGCTGCTTCAGTGAATAGTACACAGATGTGCTCATGGTCTGAAGCACTTCTTCTGAATCATTTCCAAAGCATGAACAGCCTATCATAAATACAGGCAATTCTTGCTTAATGCTCATTTGTTCAGCAACCATTCAAAGATAAAACAGTACTGAACAATTGGCATGTTCACCCAGGTCTCAAAATGTATACAATTTTTATAAGTTGTTATAAACCAGGGGTGTCAAACTCAATTTAATTGACAGCTTCATCAGGATTGTGTTTGACCTTCGTGGGTGGGGGAGGCTGGCCGGGGAGGGGGCATCCTCTTGCATCCCGCTGCCAGTGAAAAAGAAGCTCGGGAGGGCCGCACACAGCCCTCCCGAGCTCTGTTCACTGGCAGTGACACCACGGGCCGGTCCTTTGCTATTTACAGGGGGGGCCCGTGGGCCAGATCTAAGCACTCTGCGGGTCAGATCTGGCCCATGGGCCTTGAGTTTGACATCCCTGTTATAAATGGGATGTTTCACAATCTTTATGAAGCATTGTGATGCCACATGGCGTCAGGAAGAAAGCATGGCACGGCCACCAACTGCTTTGCATAGGGCCAGGCCAGGCATGCCTGTCAGTGGTGGGAGGAGGACAAAGAAGAACCCAGTGGAGTGCAGGTTGGCGGCGCGGCTTGGGTTTTGCATTGTGGCCCCTTGGTAGCTAGCTGCAGCAGGAGGATTGAGATGGCACTTCTCAGTAGTGATGATGGGTGGTTCTAAAGTAGAGGCCCAGGGGTGGTGGCAGCTGTTGAAAGCCATAGGCCTCTCTGTTTCAGCCCCAGTGTAAACTACGCATGCGCTATCCGGGGGGAAGGGGTGTTGCGTCCCTCCGACGCAGCCGGCAGCCAAGCCACACCTTGCAAGAGGCTGATTGGTCCTGGTACGGCTGCCAGCCGGCGGGAGAATTGCGGCCACCCCATTGGTCGCCCGCCTGACAGCTATCAGTATAAATAGCTGTCAGGCGGCGCTGTCCAGTGCGCGTGTTCTGAAGTTACTGTTAGTGCGGTTCGCAATAAAGGTTCCTGTTTTATGCACCTCCTTGTACATAAAACTGAGGAGTATCACTTCGCAGGGCAGTCAAAAGGGCAAATATGGGGTGTGCAAATATAGCTGGTGGGGAGTTCAAGAGGAAGCAGACCCTTACTGAGCCTTGGATCTTGGGGGGGGGGGGGGGGAATCAAGCCAGGAATGGCTAGAATCAGGTTGGATCTTTACTTAATGACCAGCGAGATTCGATTAATGATGGCAACAGGGACTGCTAGGATTTCCATCTCTAAACAATGTGGTCACATAACATGCTGCTTAACATGCTGTGACAGAAATTCTGGGTCCCAATTACCATTATTAACCAAGGATTACTTGTAACAAAAGTCCTACAGCTACAATAATGTAGGGTTCACCCACCCCAATCTTTAAGTAGGCAAACTCCACCAGAACAGGCGTTTCACATATAAAGTAGGACACTTAACAATTATACATTTTTAAAAAAACATGGAAAGCAGTTGCTCTGGAAAGTAGGACAAATTCACTTCTCTAGAGATGGAACTAGTTCAATAAATGAATAATATCAAAAACCCTTTGTTAAATACCACACATGGCTCTAGGAGTAAAACATATAAAGCAGTTGCTTTGGTTTTGTACTTTTGACCTCAAAATGAGCAATCCAAATTTTCTAACAAATATGTTCAATTAACACATGTGAAATCAGCTATCTTTTTTTGACTGCAAAATTTGTTTCTAAAGCAAATTCAGTTGCTTAGAACAGAAACAGAGCAAGGGCGAAAACAGTGATGCTATGACAAGCAGAGATCTCACAAAACAAAACAAGAAATCCTGTGGGAATTTAGGTGCAGAGTTAAGAACTGGGGGAAAAAATCCGCCTTTGGTTTCAGTGGTAGCAGCTGATATTGCACAAGTAACATACTTGTTTTACAGAAATGTTAATACAAACTACAACTGCAAAGAAAACACAATATGGGACTATCCAATATTAAAAAGGCAGGGGCTCTGAAGTTCAGAATCCATCCAAGAAATTGTTCAACAAATCCAATTTATACTCTACTACACAGGACTAATTCTTTAAAGAAAAGAAAAGAAAAGAAAACTTTTCCAATTTCATTTAGAAACACAATTTCATTACTTATATGCCAAGTTTACTTTCTTAATCTTTTACTCCTATAGCCATTATTTGGTAATGAACAATGGACAGAGATCCATAATACAGCTCATTTTATTATTATTCTTCAGAAAACACAATAAAAGTGACAGTTACATGATTATTCCAACCATATATTTCTAAGTCGTATCAAAGAAGTGTATTTTGTCCAATTCCCAGAAATATTGACTTATAAGCAGCAACAGGATTGTTGCTGCTTATAAGTTGTCATATAATTTGTCATGTTGTCCACACAGTGGGACAACATGACAAATCAGACAGCAGGTTTTGGCTCTTCCAAGGAATACAAAATCAAAGCAGTACAATAGAGTAGCAGGAAAGAATAGAAAAGGAAAATCTCTGGGCATAAATTATATTTTTGACAACTGCAAGAACTGTCTAGGGCAGCAATGGCGAACCTTTTTGGGCTCGCGTGCCATAAGGGGGGGGGAGTGCAGGGGGGTCGTGCAAGGGCATGCCGCACCCATAATGCAATGTGCGACACACACCCCAGTGCGCATGCACGCATGAGAGGCGCTCCCCCGCATTTTTCCATGCTTTTTTCGCCCTCCCCAGGCTCCAGAGGCTTTATAGGAGCCTAGGGAGGGCGAAAACAGCCCCTCCCGCGCCCGCCCCCAGAGGCTCTCTGGAGACTTCAGGGACCTTCAGTGATTTCCAGTTTGCTCGTAGGGTGGTTTTTAGTTCTCTGGAAGCTTCAGGGAAGCCTCCTGAAGGTCCCTGAAGCCTCCAGAGGGCTTAAACCGATCCTATGAGCAAACTGGAAGTCCGTTCCCAAACTTCCAGTTTGCCCATAGGGCCGGTTTTTTGCGCTCCGGAGGCTTCAGGGAAGCTCCTGAAGCCTCTGGAGGGCCTCCAGGGGGGAGGCTCTTTTCGCCCTCCCCAGGCTCCTATAAAGCCTCTGAAGCCTGGGGAGGGCGAAAAATATCTTTTAAAAAGGCTGAATTCAGCTGGCCAGCGCGCACATGCATGCTGGCCGGCTGACAGAGCAATGCCTCGCGTGCCCTGCTAATGGCTACACGTGCTCACACATAAACTAAAAGGCTGACCCCAGTTGCGGCAGTGAAGATATTTGCAATTTCTGGGAAAGGTGAGCAGTGCAACATCCCAAATTTGGGTTACTAAATCACAAACTGAAAAACTGCATAAGGACTTGATCATCAGTTCTTTGAAAAGCACAAAAACATTCTAGTGTGACAGAATTCAGTGCTGCATAGGATCTAGATGAATCAAATATCTGAACATTTGTCATTGTGAAATTTCCTCTGTGTAAGTTATTCCATATCTACCTATCTATTTTGCCACCTCAAAGGAAAACCTGCTGTTGGTGAACTTGCATTGACTTCAAGCAGCTGGTGAACGATCAGGGCCAGATCCTGCTGTGAAGTGTCAACCTCCAAAATATCCTCAAGGAATAATTGCACTTGGTCGTTTTAGTTAGCAAGTTTTCTATGCTTTATTTTAAATAGCAACTTTTCTTTTTTCTGATTCCTGTGTTAGATTTTTAATAGATGTACTATAATGACAAGTGGAGTTGCTTTAATGTTTTTATCTATCTCATGGAGGGTCCTTTCCCCATGTGCCAAACTACAGTGTGTGCGTGCCTATGGCTATTTCATTCTTAAGGAGTGAACACTCTGGAGGAGGAACTATCCTTCTCTAGAGTTCCAACTGTCAGGCCTGGATTTCCATGCGTTCAGATTTAGGGTCAGTGGTGGGATTCAACTGGTGTAACAACCAGTTTGCTTTGGCGCGCAAAGCGCATGCCCATTGCATTTGAAATCAGCACTAAATCTTATCTTTTTCCACAGCCCCCGTGAGTAAAACAGCTGAGACACAGCAATCTGCTCAGCTGGGCTTCAAACAAAGGAAATATAGGACAGAATGCTCACTGGAACTACCGGTTCGCCTGAACCAGTCCAAACCAGCTTAATCCCACCCCTGCTTAGGCTTATTAATTATAAGCAGCGGTCATGTGTCTCTGAAATATTTGACAAAGGGTCCAGCAGCTTATTCTTCTAAAAAAAGGCTGGAGAAATAGATAACTCAGCTTGTCATATAACCAAAGAAGTATGAAATAAAATGTAAAGAAGTGCCAACATAATTCAAGTCTTTGGTAATGCATTTGCCTGATATTCATCCGAAGAATTTTGTTTTGCCTGTAAAAAGAATAATCTTTTATTCTATAAGAGATGTATCAAAGTATTATGTCTGCAGAAATGATTACAAAATATAACCTCTCAGTGTACCTCCTACCTGGGGATTTAATAAGATTCTGAATAGAAAGCAAAATACTACTAATGAATATTACCTACTGTGTCAGAATTTTAAATAAGATTTGTGGCTTGGTTGATTTTGGCTATTCCGAAACCATCTTCCTTTTTTTCTTTGTTGCTGCTCAAATCTGAAGAATGTCATCTTAGCACCCCCTTCAAGAACCTAGGCAAACCAATTTTGTTTTTTACAAAATTACATACTTGTTTGTGTGTTTTTTTTTCCGTTCACCTTACCAAGGAAAATTTGATTGAGACTTATCTCAACATTTCCTGCCTATCCTAGCAACATAAATGTTGGTGGTTATACAGGGCTAACTGTTCTGTTCACGAGTTTAGTTGGGACTATTTTGAAAACCGCAAGTCCTTTCTTTGCAGACATGGAATCTTCCATCGTAAGACATATCAAACCATCCTTGTGATGCTATTCCAGGTAATTAACCTACTCATAGACCATGGCGGCTGTCAAGTCTGGGAGGGTGGAAAGTTAAGCTAAATAACAGAAGTTTTTTTCTTAAATACACATAGTTATTTTTGCATAGAAGCAACAAAGGATGGAACTAAGGATTCCATGTTACCGGGAACCCCTTGCTGCCCCATTTGAGTCGCAAACTCCCATATGTTATCCTTTCAGAATTCTGTGACATTAAATCGCCTGATTCCTGCTTAAATTTTATTTGTGGGGGGACAATGCAGCATTGTGGTTCTGCAGATGTACCATCAGCTGTGTCCATAAGGCTGGACCGGTTGGATGATTTGTGCATGCCCTTCACTATTCCCGATGGAGGAAGGTCAATAGCAGACGGGCGTGCAGAAGAGGCAGGTGTGGAGGTAGTTGCAGTAACATCCGGGGGAACTGAAAAATTCTCTGAAAAGAGGGAGAAAAGTCAGATTCTGATTACTTCTTGTTACAAGATGACTCAAGAGGAAACTGATTACCTTCACAATTCTTCCCTTCTCTGATGCAAGGGCATATGTTTTTTGTTCAATTATCTTGACAATAACCCACAAAGGAGAGAGAACATGATGCATACTAAGGTTCATTTTTACTTTCCATTTGATTATACATGCCAATTCACATGTCTGCTTTGGTAACCAACAGATCGCATTGCCTCTTTTCGAAGGTTAAAGGGACTATCTGGATTTGATTTAAGGTGTCCACTGCAATATCCAAGAGACAGGGAAAAAGTACACTACACCATCATATTGAATGTATTCTTTTGCCTAGGTAAGAATTGTACCTAAGGGCAAGAATAGAATTTTTGTCCATGTAACTACTATTATGAACTGTAGTTTTGTTTCAGATTGTTTAGAATATAACTCAGCAAATGTGTGTTGGGAAAAGGTCATATAACCTCTACACTTCATCTAGATAACTGCATGTAATAGGAAAAACTTAAACTGAATTCTTCTACAAACATACAGATTTTCATTAAGTTTCTAAATTGCAACAAAAACAATGATATTGACACTACTGACTAAAATAATTCTATACTGGGTTACTGCAAAGCCTCTCTACACTTTTATATCATTCTCTTGCCTTCTACTGAATTGCAATATCATTGTTTCTATTACACTGCTGAGAGCCAGCTGGGTGACCTTAAGCCAGTCACTTCCTCTCAGCCCTTGGAAGGACTCAAGGGCAAAAGGCTTCAGAAAAACCTTGACAAGAAAACTGCAGGGACATTTCGAGGCAATCTCTAAGAAATGGATGTGATTGAACACAAGAAAAAATATATACACTACTAATACTTATACAGATTACATTTCTCTATATAGTATTACAATAGATTACATAAGCATTAGAAGCCGAATATTCAATTTCTGTAGAAAGCATATTCTGATTACAGAACTAGTATATACAAAGAATACAAGTTCATTTATATCCATGCATTTATCATAAGCCACACAAATTAAAAGCTTGTACACAATTCACTGTGTTAATGAATGTTATGCTCACCAATGTTATTAGTCACGAAACGTATACAACTAGATCAATGGTGGGTTACAAAAATTTTTAGAACCTTTTCTGTAGGTGTGGCCTGCTTTGTGGGAGTGGCTTGCCAGCCATGTGGCCGAGTGGAAGTGGCTTGGCAGTCATATGACTGGGTGGGCATGGCCAACTTGTAAAATGTGGTGAAACTCACTTAACAATGCTCTTGCTTAGCAACCAAAATGTTGGCTCAGGAACTCTGACATTGAAGCACGCAAGTCTTAAAGCTGTCAAGTTACAAGACCCCTGCACCCCTAACCCTTTAGAAAAGAAACCCCAGGGGTGTTCAAACTTGACAGCTTTAAGACTTGCAGACTTCAACTCCCAGAATTCCTCCTCTCTTTATCTTGATGATGTGCGGACGGGCGGGGGGAGGGAGCTGAAACCAGTTCTAAGCGGCACTGTAAATTTGTGGAACCTCTTCTATAGAAGAGGTTAGAACTGGCAGGAACCCACCCCTGAACTAGATGGACAGAACGTGTATTATATGTACCTTGCTGAATTGCTTTCTACATTTTAATATTGAATTGTTTTGGACTTCTAAATGCGGATGCATATTTTCATTTAGATATTGAAGGACAGCAAACAGTTCCTCTCCAATACATAAATATAAAATAGAAACATCATCCTGCTTTCAAACAGGGTCAGATTTTCACTGTTGCACTCATTTAACTAATGCCAGTCCTTTTAGCCCATCTTTCAAAAGTGTTCACTAATAGCCTCTACTTCAGTTTTGTTCAAGAGTCAAGTTCTCACTTGTGTGCAATGGTTAGAAGAAAGAAACTCAGTGTTTAATCAGATAATGTCGGTCTGTGGGGAAATAGCTTCATATTTGCTGCTGCTGTTACTAACACCCACTGAATTCAGTTTTGGTCAAATCTGTGCTGAATTTGGCACACGGCCACCAAAACAGTATGAAAACAAGCTTTCAGAAAGGATTCAGAAGTTCAGATCTAGCAACGTGATACTTCCAAGAACAAGCATTTATACATATATAACATTATACTTCAGACCTAGAAACACATCAAGCCAAAATGGGATTTTTACCGCTTGAAATGTTTTCAAAATAGTGAGCAAGTGCATGATCAGTCAGTTTCTGTTCTTCTAAACCACTGGTCTCTGAGAGTTGTATTTATCAATCAAATTAGGTTCTGTTGTTTTGAGGCTAACTATGGCTGTCTTTTATAAATGTGAAAATGCCCTAACATTTTAGAATGTTCTTATATTTATAGCCGATGACTAGTATCTGTCTCTGTATTGAGCAGTTCTTAGTTCTGAGCTTGTTTGTTTGCTTGCAGACATTTAATTACTCAACTAGATAATATCATCAGTGTGAGTGAGTGTGCGGCTTTCTGTCATTTGTATGCAGCATATATAATGTTACAGTACCTGGTTGGGTAATGAAATGATTACAAGCAAACCGCTAAGTTCAGAGAATACCAAGAACTCAGCAGTGTAACTCTTGAGCTACAAATATTACTATTTTTTTAATATCAAAATGCAATGTTATTACTGGAAACTTCGCTTTTCATTAGCTGTTCTTAATATTCCTAACACGTTTCGTACAAAAGAAAAAAGGTGCATTTTATAACATCAATTTGACATCAGTTATTCAACAACTGAATAGCCATGAGTTCCAATTTGAAGGAACATTTTAATGAGAATCTCTTTATTTGAAGAAAGTGTGATTTATGGTGATGGATTTTTAAATAGGTACACCCCCACCCCCCACAAAGGTTTTCCATTTTAGAAAATGAGTCACATCCCAGAAAGAAAGAAAGAAAGAAAGAAAGAAAGAAAGAAAGAAAGAAAGAAAGAAAGAAAGAAAGAAAGAAAGAAAGAAAGAAAGAAAGAAAGAAAGACAGCAGCAACATATAGGTTGAAAGAAATAAAATGCAGCAATTAAGAGACACCAAGTATTTACACAATGCTTGTCTGAAATCAATTAAGCCAAAGCAGACAGCACACAAAGACACAGGCACCCCCTGAGATGCAACAATATTGTTTGGGACACGTTAATACAGAAACACATATGATGGAGCCAAACAGACCCTACAAAATTTCACACAGCAGCACCAGCGGCAGGGAGCACCTCAGAGCGTCAAAAAACTGAGCCTGGGGTATCCAAATCTATACATGCCTCAATAAATATGTACTACTTGAGCTGGGGAAAATGTATTTGTTTGTTAAATTTATTAGCTGCCTATTTCACCATGGGGCTATTCTAAGGAGCTCAGAGTCTATGGTTCAGGGTCCCCAAAAGCAATGTAAAAAAACTTTACTCAAGACAGGTGGGCCATTTCCAACTCTCCTTCTTAGAAAGAGCGGAGATCAGTAACAACAACAAAAAAGCCCCCTGTTTTGTATACTAGGACTCAGTCACTAGAGAGGTATAAAATTTCTTCCTGGTGATAAGAGTGATAAAGTTGACTTTTTTCTCCCCAAGATCTCATCATAGGCAAATCTCATTGTGGCATTTGTCTGATAGATTTTTTAAAAAGGGCAATGCCTCTGACTGATTAAGTGGACATGTGGATTATTATACTCTCTTCTGCTGGCTTGGAAGTGAAATGACCGACTATAAAAAGCAGCTCCAAGCATCAGAAACACCAGTGGCATTTTTTTAAAAAAGCCAGGCTGCTGTGCAAATGTTTCATGGTGATTATGACAAAAGGCTTCTCCCTTTCTCTCTCTCTCTCTTCCAATGGAATCCTTTCTCCAAAATCATGCTTAACTTTGCCAGACTTCTAGAAAACGTTTGAAAATAATTTGAGCTTTGACATTGGGGAGATTTCTAAAGCTTTACAGAAAAATAAATATTTTCCACCCCCCAGCTCCTACCTATTCGAGTATTGGCAAATACATCAGCTAGTGACCCACTGGTCCCTTTGCCTTCTCCATGGGATAGTGTAGAAGATGCTGATGAAGATGTGGATGACCCCTGAATAGATCGGTTGATCCATGACTCAGCATTCTGTAAGCTCTGATGCAATGCAGCAGATAGGGCAGCCTGGCGCCTGAGCGAACCTTCATCCTCGGAGGCAGAAGATGTGTCTGTGTGGGATCAGAAAAGGGAAGCACACTGCACTTAACATGCTCTGTTTGCAACCGAGGAAACACTGGCAAAGGCTCCGTACCACCCAATGCAGAGCGCACTAAGCATGGGTCAAGATGGAAGGAAGCTATTAGCAAGCCCACCAACTTGGGCCAGCTTTGTTCCTTGCCGCAAAGGAAAAGCAAGTAAAATTGTTGAAACCCCACCAGAAAAATATCCATACACCAAACTCTCCAGGTAAAATAGCCCTGCAGTCATCACCCTGCAAATTGCATGCTATGGAACCTGGCTGCAGTTTTCCCCAATCCTTAACAATTCTGAAATGGAAAACATCAGAATCAACCCGTATCTGAACATTTGTTTGGCAATTCCCATTCTGGGAAATTTCATATGGTCTATAATTATTGATTTGCAGATGAACACAGAAAAAGTAAAACTTTTTTTACATATTGAAGATGTATATGTTGAAGAATTCCTCCCTTCCATTCCATTTTTTTTACACAAAAACCAACAACATCAGTACTGTAGTATTCAACTATCTATGCAGTATGATTAATATTTAGGAATATTCAATCTGTTAATCTATGTAACTGTGTAATCTTTCACACAAAAGTACAGTAGAATCTCTGGTCATGACCATAATCCGTTCCATAACTTTGGTCACAACCCGATTTGGTCATAACCAGAACCTAATTTTGGAAATTTGGTGCTGATAAAAAAAATTAGCGTGGAAGAGAAAATCGGCTGCGGAAAAAAATGTGATTTTTTTGGTCAAAACCTGATTTGGTCGTGATCAGAAGCATTCATGACCAGAGATTCTACTGTATGCATATATTTCTGCATGTAAATATGTCACAACTGGCCCGTCAATACATCAATAATCTCATTGTCACATACAAACTGAGAATTTTAAGGTGGCAGTCATTTGAGCCAAAGAAAAGAAAGCCAGACATCTTTTTGCTATCCCCTGTTGAATAAAAAAATCAGACACACACACACACCCCGGATATTATTATTTTGATCCTGATGCATTCTTGACAAAGATGGGAAGCCTGAGCTTTTTTCATCTCAGCCCTCTCACCATGATATTGAAAGCAACTGCAAAAAAGATTTATGATTTTTCTCATCTGTTTACTTGCTACTTTTCTCTATTCCAGACCTTTTTTTTTTTTCCTCTGTCAATCATTATAAACATTTAAAAACTAGAGAAGCAAGAGTAATGTAATCAGGAGCCTAAAGAGGAAGGTAATTATCTGTGCACATGTAAATTTAAAACAATCTTCCTATCACCTTCACCCAGAACAGAGATGAGGTAATGGTGACTATCCTGCTTGCTCTATAGAGCTGGAATGTATGACTACTGCCTTATAATAAGGCACCTCAACTGATCCATCCACACATCTCTTCCGAATGGCACAAACTCATATTTTTCAGGTACTTGAACCTAAACATCAGGAACTAAAGAGCAAATTTTACACATGAAATACCGTGTTCTACTAAACTACAGCTCTTCCCACTGAAAAAAGTTGAATGAAAATATGCAGGTTTTTTTAAAGTATAAACCTGTGTATAAATACTAACACATTCAGAAAAAAATGAGAAATGTTGAATTGTCAGTATGAAATTGTTGGGATTTTCATATTCAGCTAAATTCTTGCAAATTTCTTTGATAAAAATAATCCAGAAAGTACCCACGTAAAGTTATTGCTGAATCTCAGACCAAGAATATATCAAATCGTATGTGAAAAGTATTAAGGCAAGCAACATATTATCAGTGTCATGTGGCAACTGAAACAAGTTGTTGAACAAAAAAAAAGAATGAAAAAAAGAATGAAAAAGAAAAAGAAAGAAATAAAACTCAACAACAAAATCCAGCTATTAGTAAAAAGTCTCTCTTAACAGGAATCTGATGCAATAATATTAATATATATTAATAATATATAATATTAATATTGCCAGCAATAGCACTTAGACTTATATACCACTTCACAGTGCTTTACAGCCCTCTCTAAGCAGTTTACAGAGCATATTGCCCCCAACAAACTGGGTCCTCATTTTACCTATCAGGGAAGGATGGAAGGATCAGTTAACTTTGAGCCAGTCGGAATCGAACAACCAAACTCTGGCAGCCAGCAGTCAGCAGAAGTAGCCTGTAGTACTGCATTCTAACTATTTCACAACCATCGCTCTTGCCCAGCAACCTGAACAAATCTCATTTGACCAAAAAAAAAAAAAAAAAAAGCCAAAAAGAGGATGCCACTATTAAAATATTAATACTACTAAGATAATAAAGGTTTCAGGAGGTCAAAACATTGGGCACATGCACTGGCATCAGAAATAAGACTAATTTCCCAGATAATGTAATGGTATGAGGGAATGACCTTGGGAGACCAGGCGAACAGGTGCTGCCTAGGGCAGTGTTTTTCAACCTTTTTTGTGCAAAGGCACACTTTTTTCATGAAAAAA